TATATTGTTATTCTATTCAGTGTTTACCGAATAGATTTTTAAGTACGTGATGGCTCCAAATTATTATACCGAAACAATAAAATATAATAGTGTTGAGATATCTGTCAGATGGAATAGATGGATACAGAATTTACCGAAACTTAATTACGGAACAACTATTAATCGAAAAAAAAAACCTACAATCAAATATTTTTGTGAACAATGTAATTATTTTCACAAAAAAAAACAATGTAAGAAAAAATGAGTAGATATTCCTTATTATTATGAAAATGTGATGATTTTCAAGTTCAAAAAAGATGTGATAAATGTGCAAATTTTCTGATGGAACCGAAAGATTTCGATGAGACATTATCAGATTCCTCTCCAAAGAGTTCTTACGGCAGCGATCAAATATATTATGAATCTGATGCTAATGAATTTGTAATACAAGATAGGTTCAAGTATATACAGAATCAAAATGATGCTTTGTTAGAAGATAATCAACTTTATTTTAGTGATAATAAATTGATGATAGATGATTTATCATCATCATGTATATGTAATTCTCTTTAATTAGTTTTTAAACCGATTAAAAATTTTTCTGCGTAAAATTCATTTCTTATTTTTGTTATCAAATTATGACAGGATATCACGCTGCAAAAGAGACTTATTCCTTGTTATAACAAGAAAAAGCGAAACTTCTTTCTTGGTCAAATGTTATCGAATCTATGTTTGCAGCTAGAATTACTTTTGGTTGTAAATCTTCGATGATTAACGAAATTAAAACAAGACTTAATACAACTATTAATTTGAAGCAACTTTAAAAAACAACTATTGATAAATTTGAACCTCAACGTCTTTATTTTTCATTATGTATTCTTGTTACTCCCAAGAAAGAAATTTGGATGAGTCTAAGAAACAACTCAAACAAAGATTTTTTTTGTTATTATCAGGTAGAGGACGGTTCGCTTAATCCTGGAGAATTATTTGATACTTGCGTTAAATGTTAAGTTTTAGAAGAGACCAATATAACTTTAGAAGAATATGATTTTATCACATTTGATGAAGGAATCAGAGTTTTTCCTAATATTGGTGAACATTTATTTAAAACAGCAATTTACTTTTGCATTACCAATAAGATTCCTGTATAGACAGAATCAGATAACAATGGCCTGTAGGAAAAATACACTTTTACTCAGTTCAAGAATATGAAAGTCACGGATTCTTTACGTCTTAAAGAAGATATTATTATCAACTCGATTTTAAACAAATTCAAGTTACGTCGGTATACTAATACTAAAAAACGTAAGATCGAATTTGTAGTATCTTCTTCTTCACCAGATATTGTTTCTGAGAATATTGAGCATATTGAAGAGGGCGCTTTAGAAATTTAGTTTTATTTTTTTTTTTATCAATGTATTTACAAATTTATAAATAAATCAATCTAACTAGTCTATGACCAGTTAGACTTTTAATTACGTAATTCCAAATGGAAAAAGAAAAAAAAGTAAGTTGGACGTTTTATCTTACTTTGTATTTGTAAATTCGAATTACGCTATCATAGAGTTATAGAAATATATTCTGAATGCTAGGCTATGATGAAGATATATTCTATTATTTCTCAAGAAACTAATATCAGAATTGAAGTTATATCTTTGAGATGTCAGTACTGCAAACATTGATGAAGAGAATTTTTGTACTCAATAGTTTTTATTTATTTTAGATATCGAATTACAAATCAGGACATAATTTTGAAAATATTGTACGAAAGATCGCTGAAACAAATAGATTATTAGCATCTAAAATAAAAGTAACTCAAGGTGATAATGGTATCGATATTATTGTGACCCATAAGAAAAAACTTATTCTTATATAATGTAAGAATGTATAAACTCCTGTAAATGTTCATATTGTGAGAGTTTTTAAGTTAGCACTTTTAAGATTTTTACCAGATTCTCTAGGACTTATTGTATACAATAGTAAAAAATTAGATGAAAATTTTGCTACTCCTAAAGCTAAAAATTGGGCGTATACGTCCAAAAAGAATATCAAAATCTGTAACGAAATGAGTTTGTAGAAATCATTAAGAATTTTTTTGAAAACGATAATGATGATTATATCGAATTGATAAATTATACCACAGATAGTTTTGATTTAATTAAATTGGTCGGAAAAAATGTTTCCGTAGATAAAATTGTCATTCGTCAAAATAAAAATGCTAGAATTACCCCTATTAGTATCTGTTTAGTTTAATACTAAACAGAACCTTTTTAGAGTATTTCTTTTTAATTTAGTAAAAAATTTATTTTTAAAAATGCATCCAACTTTTTTTTTATGTTTATTATTTTTATTTATTTGTTTATTATTTTTATTTATCTTTTTCATTTTAATAAAGATGACGAAGAAAACAAAGATAATTATATTTACAGGAACTATCGGGGTTGGCAAGACTACTTGTGCTAAATTATTCGAATCTTTTCTCAAAAGAAAAGGATTTACCATAAATCGTTACAAAGAAATTTCACTGCAAGTTACTAAAGAATTTTATATATTCAATAAAGACAAACAAAAGAATTTTCTTTTTTTCCAATATGTTTTATTACATCACTTTAAACAACAAATTTACGAAATTAAAAAGAACAATTTTAGTTTTTTATGGTTTTTATGGAGAGTTGATTAGATGGATATGAAGATATTCAATAAATTTTTCCAAGATTCGAAAGAGAAAGAATATATTGATAGAAACGTTAATGTGATCAAACTATTTAATTTCCATAGAGTTGTTTATGTGAATGTTCTGATTGAAACATCTATTGAATGATAATGAAAGAGAGCTCATTTAGGTGAATTGGTAGATAGAGAGTATTTGGAAACGCTTAACGCTTATTATCTTGTAGATATAGATTCGTTATATCCTAGGAATTTAAAATTTGAAAATACAGTTAATCTTTGTGATGATTGTAGAAAATCATTACCATGTCACAAGAATTATGACAAGATCTATAAGAATTTCTTTATTCTTTTATAGTGATTATTTTTTTATTTTATTTTATTATATTATTTGTTATTAAATTATTCAACTAGTGATAACTGGTTGAATTTTTAACTATGTAAAAATAAATTCTTCATCAAACGATCCATTATATTACCATTCAAAATTAATAGATTTGACTGAATTAAATTAATTTTACGTATATAATGTTATTGATTTTACATCCCAACCTAATAAAAAATATATGTTATCTTTGTTGACCATTCGAGAAGATGGAACAAAATTCACAATCAATATTTTTGTTGATTCGGTTTTTTTTGATATTAAACTTTATCCTGAAATCAATTTTTTTAATTATATTAACGAGTTTGAACCGAAAAGTTATGAAAGAATCAAATGACAACTGTTTGATTCAACAGAAAAATATACTTTTTTACATTTGTATTTTCGTAATCAACGAAAACATAAAGAAGCTTTACAAAAACTTACGATAAAACGTGATAACTTTATTCAGAATCCTGATAATTCTTGATTCAAAGATATAGAGGAATTTGATCGATACTATAACACATATTCGGATAATAAGATGTGCTATTATAGAAAATTCGCAAGTGAAAACAATTTTGAGTTAGTGAGATGGTATGAAGTTACTAATAAAAATATTTACGATAATATGTTGATTACTTTAAACGATATAAAGAAGCTTGATTATTACGAGATACCTAAGCTTTTGTTACTATATTGGAATATCGAAACTTCATCGAGTCGCGGTCCGGGATATTTTCCTTTAGCTGAGAAAGAAGAGATTGTGTTTACATGATCCAATTTGATATTGTTTTTTATAATCAAATGTCTCCTATTCAACGATTTTGTTTATCAACTATACCCATCAATAGCGAACTATTCAA